GTTCTCGCGGGACCCGTGTTCTCGGGGGGACCCGTGTTCTCGCGGGAGCCGTGTTCTCGGGGGGACCCGTGTTCTCGCGGGAGCCGTCCTCACCGTGGCCTCCCCTGCAGCATCATCAGCCGGTGCGTGCGAAGCTTCAAGTACCTGTACGGGCTCCGCTTCGAGGTTCGGGAGCAGCACAGGCTGCGGGAGGCCCGGCCCTGCGTCATCGTCTCCAACCACCAGAGCATCCTGGACATGATGGGTAGGCCGGGCCTCGGGGGCGGCTGCCGGGGTCCCCGCGGGGCCTGCCGCGCCGGGCTGTGTGGGGCTGGGCCCCGAGGACGAGGACACAGAGCTGCCTGTGCCTGCGCAGGCCGGGCCTCGGCACCTCCATCAGGGCCGGACACAGAGGCCAGGCGACCCGCGCGGGCGGCCGGGGAGAAGGCGGGTGCTGGGCGGGGAGAAGGCGGGTGCTGGGCGGGGGGAGGGGGGGCGGGGGGGGGGGCAGGCGGGCGCCGGCAGGCCTGTGAGTGCCCAGCGGCCAGCCTCCAGCTCTCGCTCTCCCCCCGCCGCTCCCCCCCCCGTGTCTCCCAGGCCTCATGGAGGTCCTTCCTGAGCGCTGCGTGCAGATCGCCAAGCGGGAGCTGCTCTTCCTGGGGCCCGTGGGCCTCATCATGTATCTTGGGGGCGTCTTCTTCATCAACCGCCAGCGCTCCAGCACCGCCAGGACCGTAATGGCCGAGCTTGGGGAGCGCATGGTCAGGGAGAACGTGAGTGTGCGGGCCGGGGCCGGGGCCGGGCCGGGGAGGTGGGCAGCCTGTGGCTTAGTTTTGGGCCGGGCGGGGGAGGTGGGCAGCTTGTGGCTTTGTTTTGGCAGAAAAAACAAGACCCCCTACATCATCCATGCTCCGCAGATGGGGTCACACACCAGCCGCTTGGAGAAGTGGGGTTCCTTAGGAGAGGAGGGAGTTCGAGTTTCTTGGGCTGCTGGGGCGTGAGGTCAGCCCAGGCCCTTCTTTCCCTGCAGCTCAAAGTGTGGATCTACCCCGAGGGCACGCGCAATGACAACGGGGACCTGCTGCCTTTTAAGAAGGGTGCTTTCTACTTGGCAGTCCAGGCGCAGGTAGGCGGAGCCCGGCCCCCCAGGGTGGGTGCAGGCTGGGGAAGCGGGGTCAGGCTGGCTTAAGGTAGAAGGTGACCACCCAGCCAAGCTGAGGACCCCTGGCATGCAAGGGTCTTCTTCCCCTGAGTTGGTGACAGGGCCTTTTTGCCCCTTCCTGCACCTGCCCCTGACCGGCCAGGGAGGGCAACCCCTTGGACCTTTCGCCCACTCAGAGCCCCAAGTGACCCACTGCCCTTGGTGGGCACCAGGCTGGGCAGGTAGCTGGCCTCTCAGAAGTCTCCTCCTGGGCCCATGCCTGGCTGGGTGGGCCTCAGGGCATGGCCGTGGGTTGGACAAGCCAAGCACAGGGTTGGGCCAGAGCCTGGGGAGGGGTGGAGCTTCCGGTGAGCAGCACTTCCAGACTCTGTACTTCCTGGTCCCCAACCTCCAGGGGTGCTGTGCGTCCCTGGTGATCTAGGAGAGGCCAGGGCATAACCGTCCCCGCAGAGCCCGTCCTGCCCCTGCTGCTGGGCAGGAGAGAGTTGCTTCAGGGGAAAGGGTTTTTACTCTGCTTGGGTGGGGTCTCCCTCAGGTCAGGGGTCTCAGCTCGTTTCCCTGTACTGTTCTCCAGTGGCCCCTGGTGCTGGCCCTGTGCAAGGTGGGTGGCGGGGGGGCCCTCCTTCTGGACGGCCCCAGCTGAGGGCGTGGGGCTGGGGAGCGCCGGAGGCGCTGGGCTGGGCAGGCTTTCTTGGGCTCCAGTCACAGCCCTTCTCAGGTGCAGCGTACACCTGCCTGGCCCGGTCTGGGGCTGATGTCATTTCCCTTTGGGGGCAGGGTGAGGGCTGGATGGGCCCTGGGAGACGAGAGGGGAGATGTGATGGGCGTGGCTGGGTGGCAGCAACGCAGGAGACCTGAGGCCCTTCCCTCCCCAGTCCCGTCCCCAGCCCGCCTGCTGGCCCCTGGAGGTTCCCTGGCTGCTTCGGGTTAATGTTCACAAGTGCCCTTGAATCTGACCCTGGTGACTTCCAGGAACGCCAGCAGGCCCCACCCCTCCCCTGGCTAGCGTCGCCTCCCTCCCGTGCTTCCTGGGATGAGGAGAGGACCAGGAGGGAGGCGTGGGTGGGAATGGGGCCATAATCTCCTGCTAAACTGGACAGGGCCCTACCCCGTGTCTAGGAGGGCTTCCTGGAGGAGGTGAGTAAAGATTTGCAGGATGAGCTTATGGAACTCTGGGCCAACCAGAGAGGGACAGGTGTCCCAGGTCCCTGCAGTCCCAGGGGCAGGACAGCCACAAGGACCCACAGCAGCAGCCAAGGCAGGGACGGGTGGGCCACAGGGCACGGCTCCCCAGTTGCCTGGAACCTGTGGTGTGCCCCGCCCATCGCCAGGGCTGCTTCAGCCGTGCGTCTGCCTGCCTGCAGGTACCCATCGTCCCTGTGGTTTACTCCTCTTTCTCCTCCTTCTACGACACCAAGAAGAAGCTCTTCACCTCAGGTACGCCACACGTGTGCATCTGGGGTGCAGGCTCTGCCTGACCCTTTGGTCATGGGCCCTGGGCCCCTCACAGTTCCCATCATGTGTCGGATGAGTGACAGGCTGGAGTGCCAGCTGTGTGGGCTTCATGGCCCCATGGCGGTCACTCTACCCCGTGGTCCAGTGAGATGGGTGGTGCTGGGGTTTTTTTGGATGAGGAAACTGAGGCTGCAGGAGGGTATTCTGGGTGCCTGAGCTCACACGGATGGACCCCACTGTGCACACAGCCTGGGGCCTCGAGAGGCCTCTTAGCCATGTGTCCAGGCTGACGCCTGCGTGGGGCAGATGGAACCCAGGGGCACCGGTGAGGGGCTCGGGGCCTCTGCCCCTTCTGGCCAGTTCCCAGGATGTGGCACCTGGTGTCCAGGCGGGTCCACGAGGTGTGAGCTGGAGAGCAGTGGGGGAGCCCAGCTCCGTCTCCCACAGGCCCTCTCCCTGTATGGAGAGCAGAGGCCACACAGTGAGACCGGGGCTGGTCGGGAAGGGGGCAGATGGGGGCGGTGACAGGAGCGCAGGCTTCCCGAAGCAGTGTGGAGGCCAGCCAGCCCTGGGCTTACTGCATCAATGTTGCGGTAATTAACATAAACCCACCCAGGCTAGCGAGTCCAGTGGAAGAGCCCAGCTCAGGGCTTCCCAGGGAGGGGGCCTGGGGGGGGCTGGAGGAGGCAAGGCCAGGGCAGGGGCTGAGGTGGGCCCCAGCTCCCGGCAGGCCACTGACGTCTGCTGCCCCCGCCCTCCCCCACCCCAGGAACAGTCACGGTGCAGGTGCTAGAAGCCATCCCCACCCTCGGCCTCACCGACGCGGACGTCCCTGCGCTGGTGGACACCTGCCACCGGGCCATGAGGACCACCTTTCTCCACATCTCCAAGAAACCCCAGGAGAACGGGGCCACCGAGGGGCCCGGTGTGCAGCCGGCCCAGTAGCCCAGACCATGGCAGGGCAGGACCTGGGGAGGGCAGGCGGGAAGCTGATGGCTGCAGGATGGGCCAAGGGGCCCCCCGCCCAGGCTTCCAAACATCACTGTGGCTGGCCCCCCGGCCCTCGTGGGCTCTGGAAGCGGGAAGCCCCTTTTGTCACTGGCCTCAGACACAGACTCCTGGCGTCCCCTGAGAGGGGTCAGCCAGACCGTCCCCAAGCTCGGAGGGCAGGGTCTCGCCTCCTGGTGCCTCTGGGATGATGAGGATGAGGCCTGAGGCTGTGGCCTGCAGGTGGGCTGAGCCACAGGACCCAGGATGGCCCAGGAGCAGAGGGGAAGACCCCGAGGTGAAACACCCACTGCCAGGCCCTCTGCTCTGGTGCCTGGGACCCACTTCCAGGGTCCCGCCCACAGCCTGCATCAGGCTCTCAGGGAGAGGAGGGGCCGGGAGGTTGGGGAGTCTCAGACTCAGACACCCGGGACCACAGGGAAGCATGAAGCAGGGCCTGCCCTCCTGCCAGCCTGGGGGACTCCGTGGGGCCAGCATTGTACTCCATTGCTGTTTTTTTATAAACAAACTCTTGGAAGTGTCGGGGTAGCAGTGGTCACTCACGGAGGGCAGGGTGACCAGGCGGTGGAGCCTGGTGGTATGTCTTCCCAGCCGCCCTCCCATGGGCCCAGGGTGGAGGCGCTGACATGCACCCGAAGTGGGCCCACATCACCCTACAATGCTTCCATCGATGGGGGGTGTTGCCCAGGGGCAGGCATGCTGGGATCCTCAGGGCACTGGGAAGGAGGCCAGAGGTTTTCTCTTTGGACTCTGGTTGGGGCCAACATGTCCCCAAGACAAAGCTCTCCACAGCCTCACAGAAGCAACCCCCCCTGTGTCCCGCAAGACTGCCCACTCCACCTGTCCCCATTTGTTGGCTGGCGCCCGCCCTGACTACATCCACAACACAGCAGCTTACATGTCATCTTTATTCTTCAGGGTATCAGGTGGCAGGCCCCACTGAGGCCCCACCCAGCCTCCCGGCTCCCATGCCACAGGTCCCAGGCCCTGGCAGAGACCTTATGAGCTCGTACCTTCCCTCAGCGGAGGGGCCACTAGGCCCTGGGATGCCGCTGGGGTGGATTCACACAGAAGACCCCAGCCCACCCATGCCAGAACCCTGGGAGCCTTCTGATGAAGAGGGGGAGGAGGAGGAGGGTCCTGCCCAGCCTCCTGCTCAGTCACCCCGAAGTGACAACCCCAGCACGTTGTCAGGGGCTGGGGCTGCAGGGGAGGGGCTCAGTCCAGCTGGGGGCTCAGGTGTCACGAGTCCTTCTTGCAGGAGCCTAGGGTGGGATGACACTAAGGTCAGAGGTCACTGCTCCCCACAGCCTCCCAACCCAGCCAGATCTGACCCGCCCCCACAGGAGAGGAGGGCTCTGGAGGGGGCACTCACAGGAGCCCAGCTGCTCCTCCAGGAAGGAGATCTGCTCGCTCAGGGAATCGATGCGGCCCAGCTGCTGGAGGGAGTGCACCAGGAGGCTGCCAGGGTCCGGGAGCCCCAGCTCCAGCGCCTGCGAGGCCAGGCTGTGCAGTGGGGCCAGCACCAGCTGCAGCTTCTGTGGGTGCGGAAGGGCGATGACCCTGGGCCAGCCCTGCCTTCCGCCCCCCAGGGTTGAAGGAGGACCCCTGGGAAGGACTCCACAGCCTCCAGCTCCAGCCCCAGCCCCACAGGGCTCCCAGCGGCCGCTGGAGGAAGAACTCGCAGCAGGGCTCTGGGCGGCCACTAGAGGAAGCTGCTGTGCTGGAAGAGTCTGCGGCATGGGGGGTGCCTGGGGCATCAGACTGGCCAGGCGGTCTGGGGTCCCCGGCGGGAGAACTAGGGGGACAGTGGGACCAGTGGCCAGAGGGAAGGCTGGCGAGAGCTATCTGTCCTGGTAAAGGCAAAGGTGGTGGTGGGGCGGCCCGGTCTGCATCCAGG